ATTTTTTTTAAAACTATTTTTGTAATTTGAATTTGATTAGGTAATTTGTAATTTAAATTTGAATTTTATTAGATAATTTGAAAGTGGTGATTACTTTTATAAGGTAACTTTTAGAGTTTTATAGAAACTCTTTTTATAAGAACTATTTTTATATTAATTAATAAATATGTTTTTATATTTTGTGTTAGAGTTTTATAGAAACTCTTTTAATAATAGTATAGATTTATTAGGTAATTTGTAATTTGAATTTTATTAGATAGTTTGAAAATGGTGATTGATTTTATTAGGTAATTTTTAGAGTTTTATAGAACCTCTTTTTATAAAAACTCTTTTTATATTAATTAATATATATATTTTTATAGATAAATAGGTAATTAGAATTTTATGTTAGAGTTTTATTGAAACTCTTTTAATTATAGTATAGATTTATTAGGTAATTTGTAATTTGAATTTTATTAGGTAATTTGAGAGTGGTTATTGATTTTATTAGGTAATTTGTAATTTGAATTTTATTAGGTAATTTGAAAGTGGTGATTGATTTTATTAGGTAATTTTTAGAGTTTTATAGAAAATCTTTTTATAAAACTATTTATATTTTAATTAATAAATATTTTTTTTATATTTTGTGTTAAAGTTTTATAGGAACTCTTTTAATAATAGTATAGATTTATTAGGTAATTTGTAATTTGAATTTTATTAGGTAATATGAAAGTGGTGATTGGTTTTATTACGTAATTTTTAGAGTTATAACTTTTATAGAAACTCTTTTATATTAATTAATAGGTAATTTGAATTTTATTAGGTAATTTGAAAGTGGTTATTAATTTTATTACGTAATTTTTAGAGTTTTATAGAAACTCTTTTTATATTAATTAATAAATATTTTTTATAGATAAATATGTAATTTGAATTTTATTAGGCAATTTTTAGAGTTTTATAGAGTTTTTCTTTTTATATCAAAATAAATACTAAAACATTGAAACTCTGCACATTTAAATATATATATATATATATAGATATAGATATAAATTTAAAGTTTTTTATACTCCGTATATATATATATATATATATATATTTATAATTAGTAGTATTTTAATATAAAATTAATTCAAAATCATATTAAATTTTCAATATAGAGATTCTTGATACGAGTAACCCTAATAAACCTCACATTTTATTCTCAAATTTCAACCGAAATTGCTCGATTTTAAAATTTTAAAACATTTTATATAAAAAATAAAATTTATGCATACGTATTTGACCTAAGCCAAAGTCTTACCTACTTTTTGGACATGTATCAAGTGGATAAAACTCCTTCCCATTTGCTTTGAGTTATTATTCACATGTCGTGTTGGGCCCGAGTTACATATGGCCAGCCCTAAAGTGTCCTCTACTTAATTGGCAGAGAGATATATTTTACTGAATTTTACTTCAACGCCTCGAAAGCTGAAAATATTTTACTGAATTTTCTCTCTCCAATCTCTCTATTTCCACAGCTTCGTTTCTGCAATCATGGGTCGCAGAAGCTCCGGAGGTACTTTGCAGCTTTAGATTTTTTTCTACAGTTGCATAGATTTAACCTATATCAATAGTAATTCTTTTAACTAATATACAATTTTGAAATTCAATATTTATTTTTACTTTTCGATCTAATAAGACTACATACATCAAGCCGACTTACGTATCGCACATGTAAACTACCAAATTGACTTTCTTTGGTGCTAGAGTTTTAGGGGTTTAGTGTCTAGGGTGTAGTACACAATGCAACTATATATCTGATGCAAAAGTTAAAAAAATTAAAAGTAGCTAAAAAAAAGGTACAAAGTGTCATTGACTGCAAAATCTGATTGAAGGTATGATATCTATAATGAAATACTTTGAGGGTTAACATGGATCTGATCCTTATTTATATATGTAATATCAAATACGTATGCATAGTTATTGCTTGATGCCTTACTATTAGTTACTAAAATACTCAGGCCTTGAACATAGGTTCGAATCCTGACAGCAATCATTTATACACTTTATACGAATGAAACCAAATGTTTATTAATGAGGACCATAATAGGTAATGAGATTTTGAAATCCACTTGTTAGGTAAAATTATTTTGTATTATTGCAGGGAGGTCAGCTCCTCGTCCTCGTTCTGCTTCTCGTGGATCTGCTCGTGCACCAGTTTGTAAACCAGGTATTACTTCTTGTTGTGTTGTTGTGTTGTTAAAATATGTGAAGTAGGCCGTTTGAACTTAGTTTAAACTGAAACACTAATTGGTGGTTCTATCTGTTTTCGGATATTGACAAACTCTTAAATTTTCCAACACTTTTTTTTTTTCAAATATGTTTCATAACTTTTTATTACTATTTAAAACACCCTATTACAAAAACATTATTTTGTTTTGAGTTAAAACGCCAAACGTGCCCTTAGGGTTTGTTTTGTCTATTTTGCTTCAATTTATGTTCCTTTTTGTTTAATGTCGTTCTTCCTTTCTGGTTGACTATGCAAATCGGTTCCTGCAGCTAGCAATGCATCTTCTCCTGCACTATACAGCGATGTGAAATCCATGTTTGAAGATTTCGTTGACAGTGTATGTCACGCCCCAAAATCCTAAATACATGAACTCTTATCTCGTATTAAGATTTGACACGACTTTCCTTACACAACCACAACTTTACAATAAAAATAATTAAATAAAGAAGTGGATGAAAACCACCTTCAAATTTATTAAATCGATACAACCATAATATCAAACAACCTTGTCAAAAATAATCCATGATAACTGGACAAAATGAACTAACTTTCAAAAAAAATATCGTCATTCTTATTACAATGCGAAAATTGAACTAAACCAAAGAATGCGACAAACAAGACAAAATCCATCACCATCATGTAATCCCATCACGTTCCTACTCAACGTGTACTTGAAATGTGATAATGGGGTGAGCTCACAAGCTCAGCAATAAATGCTAAACACAATCATCGTTCAGCAAATTAACCTTACCTTATATTCTTGTATATATAAGCAACTCAAATAAGTTCATTATTCAAATGTGTATAACCCAGTTAATTATAAACTTAATAAATAACCATCTTTTATTTTTAATAAATCAGCATATCTCACATGAGCCTCGGGCTCCCGTCCAATAAAATGGTGTGAATCGTATAGTCCCTGACTACCAAAAACACACGTGTGGCTGGATTGTACGTCTACTTCCCAGATGATCCCTGATCACGTCCACACAATAGGGGCTCATTAGACCCATGGCCATAACAAAAGGGTAGTGCACTCCCAAATAGGTAGGTCCCTGACCATACCCACGAGTCATCATAGGGTCGGTCCCTGACTGCCCTCCGACTAATCCAAACTCATCATTATTAACTATGGTGAATTATGATAGACATTATTAATTAATAATTTAAATTAATAAGCAATACTCCCGAACACACTTTTAATTTAAAACAAAACCCTAAAGACCCAACTAGTGGGAGTACAGAAATTCTGGACACGCTCTAATATTATATATAAATCCCTGTAACATTTTTGAGTCAAACCTTTAATAATTTTTCCGTACTCTCCATTAATTGTTTTTTTTTTTTTCAAGTTTTAATTTGGTTAAATTATCTAAACAGTATCTAAAAAACAGGATTTCATCACAATTTATTTCAATATGCTTACACAGAGTAATATAGATTTTCCTGTAATTTTGAAATATGATCACTATTTTTCTTTCCTAATTTAATTAAATCAAGATCACTTAAAAGAAAATAATTAAAAATAATATTGAATCTCGATGGACACAACAGTGAACCCAAAATAACAGATTTAGAAAGTGACATGGAAACCCAGTTAAAAACGCATATGGGTCTCTCTCTCTCATTCACTTGTCCCTTGACTGCTAGTGGTTACACAAACCCATTACATCACCATCATCGGAATATGATTCCCAATATGCTATTAGCAATTAATTATGGAAATCTATAGTTACATCTAATCTAACCCACTAGCAGGCCCACAAGAAGTTACTGGAGTCATTCTAGATAAAATTACTTATATAAGAGGTCTAACATGCATATATACGTACATAAATATTCATATATATATATATATATATATATATATATATTTGCACCTTCACAGTACTCCAACAAAGTTAACAGAGTAGGTTCACGCCTCTAAATTCCATGATATGCTTCCACAAATCTCCTTAGTTCTTCAACCATATATGCCACATATATTATATCACATATATACCAATAGATTGAAATCCTTTGAATGGAAACTGTACATTGCATTATGTAAAACTTTAAATTCAACTTACCAATAATAACATGCCTTGACTAAACCATCCTAACTAAATCCTTGATTTTGAGTTCTACGATCAAACTTAATTTAATTATTTAGAACAAATAATTTCTTTTATTAGAACCTAATAATTTAAGAAAACAAGTGCACAGTTGTACTAGTATAATCCTAACTTTACGAATAATATTTGTACAATTTATTTAAAACACACAAATTAGATTTTTTTAAGATTTATCATAATCAAGTTCCAAATATATATAAAAATACAATGCAAGATTAACTTGCCTCAAATATCGTTTCACCTTCCTTTTCAAACTCGACTATTGAAATATAATTTCTCCTTCTTCTCTAGGTAATTTCTCAGTCACCGTCTACCTTCTGGCTACCACAGACGTCAACTTTAAATATCACTCTCAATATCTCACGCTTCTCTCTTCTTTTCTTTCTTACTTTTTTTTTTTTTTTGTTTTACAAATAATATCTCTATAGAACTGATACGGCATGAGTTATAAAAGATAATTATAACTGTGGTTGAGATAGTTTAGGATTCCTTTTTGAAATTTAAATTTTAAAAACTATAATATCTTTAATTTAACATTCAAATAATAAATAATAAATAATAAAATATAATATACGAAATTTAAGGGTTTTACATTCTACCCACCTAAAAAGAAATTTCGTCCTCGAAATTTGCATACCTTATTCGAAGAGTTGTGGGTACTTTTCCTTCATTTCTGACTCTAGCTCCCAAGTAGCCTCTCTCTCGTCCTGATGATTCCACTGCACCTTCACCAAAGGTATCTCTGCCCGCCTCAACTGTTTCACCATACTGTCAACAATGCGAACAGGCATCTCAACATAGGTTGTATTAGGACGAATCTGGACCTCTGTGCAGTCAATGGCCTGAGTTTCATCCCTCAAGCACCTCCTCAATATGGAGACACGGAAAACATCATGAACAGTAGATAGTCTGGGTGGTAAAGCTAATCTATACGCCACCTCCCCAATCCTCTCTGTGATCTCAAAAGGTCCAATGAATCGAGGAGCTAACTTCCCTTTCTTCCTGCCAAATCTCGTAACCCCCTTCATTGGTGATACTTTCAAGAACACCAAGTCACCTATACTAAACTCCAAAGCACGACGGCGTCGATCTGCATAGCTCTTCTGTCGACTCTGAGCTGTGCGAAGTCGATCTCGAATGATGGCAACCTTCTCCGTAGTCTCTTGCACCAACTCTGGCCCCAAAAAACTACCATCACCAACCTCAGCCCAACATACAGGTGAACGACAAGGTTTACCATAAAGTGCCTCATATGGTGCCATGCCGATACTAGCCTGATAGCTATTATTATAAGCGAACTCAACCAATGGAATGTGATCCTCCCAACTGCCCCGAAAATCTAGCACACAAGCATGAAGCATATCCTCCAACACCTGAATGACCCTCTCGGACTGGCCATCGGTCTGAGGATGAAAAGCAGTACTCAAACTCAAAGGAGTACCAAAAGCTGCTTGGAAACTACTCCAAAATCGAGATGAAAAACGAGGATCATGATCTGAGACAATAGACACCGGCACTCCATGAAGCTTAACTATGTCTCTAATGTAGATCTTACACAATTCCTTTACAGTATCAGTAGCTCGAATGGGTAGAAAATGAGCTGATTTAGTCAATCGGTCCACTATCACCCACACTGTATCATGGTTATGTATCGACCTCGGTAACCCCACAACAAAATCCATCGTCACATGTTCCCATTTCCACTCAGGCACAGGCAAAGGCTGTAATAGTCCTGCTGGTCTTTGGTGCTCAGCTTTCACTCGCTGACAAGTGAGACATCTAGATACAAACTCTGCCACATCACGTTTCATGCCTTCCCACCAGAACTGCCTCTTAAGATCATGATACATCTTAGTGCCACCTGGGTGCACTGTGTACCTAGAGTGATGTGCCTCCTCTAATATCTCTCTTTTGAGATCTGCTAAGTTTGGAACACATAGCCTACCTCGAAATCTCATACCACCATCAGCTCCATACGCCCAGTCAACATTACCTTCAGCATTAACAGACTTAACTGCTTTGGTCTGTAACCTGTCATCCTGAGTCTGAAAATGAATGATCCGGCTGATTAAAGTAGGTTGTACAGTCAAACTACAAAGAATAGCCCCTGTACTCTGAGAACTTGGCATGATAGAAAACTCTGCCAATGCCTCTAACATCATCCACTCCTGAATCATCATAAAGGCAACTAATCCTCTCTGTTTCCGACTCAAGGCATCTGCTACCACATTCGCCTTTCCAGGATGATATTGAAGACCTCCACACCTTCAATGCAAGAATCACCGCTGCCAACTCCAAATCATGCGTAGGGTAATTCTACTCATGTGGCTTAAGCTGCCTAGAGGCATACGCTACTACCTTATCATCTTGCATCAAAACACAGCCAAGACCCTGAAGTGATGCATCTGTGTAGATCACAAATCTCTCACCATTAACAGGAATGGTAAGAACTGGTGCCGAAGTCAATCTCGTCTTCAGCTCCTCAAATGCCTGCTCACAGCGGTGATCCAAAACAAATTTCACATCCTTTCGAGTCAAACGGGTCAAAGGTGCAGCAATCTTGGAGAAACCCTCAATGAAGCGCCTGTAGTATCCTGCCAGTCCCAAGAAGCTACGAATCTCAGTGACAGTAGTAGGCCGTTTCCAACTCATCACAGCCTCCACCTTGGCAGAATCTACTGAAACTCCATCCTTAGAGATCACATGCCCCAAAAACTGAATCTGCTCCTGCCAAAAGTCACACTTCTCAAACTTAGCATAAAGCTGATGCTCACGCAAAGTCTGAAGTGTAATGCTCAAGTGTCTCTCATGCTCCTCTTTAGTCTTGGAATATATCAGGATGTCATCAACAAATACCACAACAAACTGATCCAAGTAAGGTCGAAACACTCTGTTCATCAAATCCATAAAAGCTGCCGGAGCGTTAGTCAACCCAAAAGGCATGACTAAGAACTCATAGAGGCCATAACGAGTCCTGAAGGCAGTCTTATGAATATCATCCTCCCTAATCCTCAGCTGATGGTACCCAGTCCTCAAGTCAATCTTAGAAAACAACTGCGCCCCTCTGAGTTGATCAAACAAATCATTAATGCGTGGCAATGGGTACTTATTCTTAATAGTGACCTTATTCAGCGCACGATAGTCAACACATAAGCGGAGTGACCCATCCTTCTTCTTGACAAATAAAACAGGTGCTCCCCAAGGTGATGTGCTAGGTCGAATAAACCCCCGATCTTGCAACTCTTGAGTCTGTTTCTTCAACTCACTCAATTCAACTGGCGCCATTCTGTAGGGTGCCCTAGAGATAGGTGAAATACCAGGAGTGAGGTCGATGCAGAAATCCACTGCCCTCCTAGGAGGCAAACCCGGAATATCCCGAAACACATCTGCATACTCTGACACTGTAGGCAACTGCTCTATAGTCACGCATTGCTCAACCACCTCGATGTGGGCCAGAAATCCCATAGTCATGGTACCTTCAAACTCCCCACACTTATATCGAGAAGGAAACTGTCCCGGAACTGAGAATACAATAATCCTTTCATGGCAGTCCAACTGAGCATGATATCTAGCCAACCAATCCATACCCAGTATAGCATCAAATTCTCTCATACGTAATACTATTAAATCAATAGGATACTCCAACTCCCCAATTGTAACAGGGCAAGCACGACATATTCTATCAAGTGTCGTCGCGCTCCCGAGTGGGGTTGTAATAGATAAGGCATTACTTATATGTCCAGTTTCTAATCCCAGCGTATTCACAAATGATAGTGCAATAAAAGAATATGAAGAACCTGAATCAAATAGTACTCTAGCTATACTGCCATAAATAGTAAGTGTACCTTCCACTGCTGGTGGTGCACGATCCTGTCTCCCATCTGGAACAACTGCATAAACCCTTGCACCTCCTTGTTGCTGTGGTGCCTGACCTTTCTGCTGGTTATTCTTGTGAGGCTTGGGACAATTACGAGCCAAATGTCCTTGCTCACGACAATTGTAGCAATGCTCGCTAAACTGATATGGCTGTGCATCATGAGGTGTGGCTGGTACTAAAGCGGTGGATTGCTCACCTTCACCAACTCTCTGTCGTTTCCCTGCTCGCCAATCTTGTCTACCTCTCTGCCAAGACTGACCCTGCCAGTTTCTCTGAGTGTGCTGCTGCTGACCCCTCTGATTCTGTTGAGAACTACTCTGATTCTGTTGAGTACTGCTAGCCCCCTTACCTTTCTGTTCTGCCCTACGCTCCTTCTGTTTCTGAAAGGCAATGTTATTATTCTCCTCTACTGCCATAGCACATTCCACCACTCTAGCATAAGTGTCAAAACGATGACCCACCACAAACTTCTTCACATAAGAGACCAATCCTTGCTCAAACTTTCTAACCTTGTGTAACTCATTCGCAATAATGTGAGGAGCGAATCGGGATAGCTCTGTAAACTTCCTCTCGTACTCACTAACTGACATCTCATTATTCTGTTCCAACTGCGTGAACTCTGCTGCATTCTTCTCCTTCACTGATTGTGGAAAGTATTTGTCATTGAACCGAGTTTTAAAATCATCCCAAGTCATAGTTGTAACAACCCCACATTTTCCACGCATAAGTTGATCAGGCTTATACACGAAAAACGAGGGATATCAAAAACAATTGGCAATATACAAGCATGGAATACAAAGTGATGGAAATAAAAGAATTTAGACAGGAAAGAAACATTAAATAATACAACATCCATCCATCCTTTATTTAAATACAGTACTCTATTACAACTTGGAAATCCTATATCAAGGATCCCTAAATATAAACCTAAGAGTTCAACGTCAAAAATAAATAAAAACTGAAACTGAAGTAATACATAAAACTTCTACCCTGAACTGGATCGTAAGAGTAGATGAGTTCGGATGGTGGTCCCTCACTGCTAACCTCAACCTTGGAACGGGTACTGACCGTATCCTGAAATAACAACAATGGTGGGTCAACCCCACGAGCAAGTCCTCTCTACTATGACCCAAATCAGAGAATCAAATAAATTAATCATTTATATCCGGATGAGTACTATATCTGTATACATCCTAAGGGAACCATCCAATGTATAACATGACCTCAACCAGAATAGACGGTGATCACTTAGACTCACACTAGGTGGTTAAGTGTCGCCTTTCCCTACCCGGGAAATCAGCTATTATACATGGTGCACGATACTGACAACACAGACTATAACGAATTACACAGTGATAACACCTCTCAAAGTACTGATGAATATACTGAGCATACAAATTAGGCAACACATGCCAATAATATTACTAAATAGACTGAGCATGTCCATTAGGCAACACATGCCAATAATATTAAACCACATACCCCGACAGCCACACATCTGTCTATAGCAACGAATGCATAAGGTATAAATGAGTCTAAACTTATTAGTCAGCTCACATGGTTCTATATGGCAACACATCCATATAATATAAATGCGACATAATAAATAATCCATTTATTCCCTGAAATGCACACAGCATAATAATCATGGTTTATATACGATTAACAGTATAAATATTCCATAATATATAATGGGTTATTTATATGAATAAAACCAAGCACTAATTAATTTAACATTAATGGTTATTACAGTATAATAAAATAATACCATTAATAGTCGTTAAATTAATTACATATGTTTACTAGCGATTCGCACTTTAACTGATACAATTAATATTTAGAAATATTAATCGGACAATTATAATAGTTAACGAGAAATAAAATAATAATATAATGTCCCGTTAATTCTAAAAATGCCAACCCGAGGCCCCAAAATGTATAGTGAAGGTCCTGGTAATGACAAAACAGTCCCTAGGGGTATTCTGGACTTTTCCAGCAGCTGTAGAGGCCCTTCACGCGCCCCCACGCGCCTCCCAGAGCTCCCCACACGCGCTGCCAAGCTTTCCCACTCTCCCACGCGCCTCCACGCGCGTCTGGCATCAGCCACGCGCGCGCACGCACTCCCACGCGCGTCTGGAGCGTTCCACGCGCGCGCACGCGCTGCCACGCGCGCACTAATGGTACCTTGCTGACGCGGCAGCTCCTGATTCGGTGGTTGCATGGACTTTGTTGTGGGTGCGCTGTATGGAATTGATCCAAGGCTCCTCCTTTAATCCAACGGCTCCTGACTTGCGTGCACCATGCTATTGTGTGCTACGCTACATTGAATCAATCTGTGATTTAAAATCCAATCTAACCGCTACTGATGCGCGCGCATAGTAAGCCTTGTGCGCCGCACCACATGGGATCACTCCGGTCACCTTCCTCGTTGCCGGTGGCCGGAAATCTCGCCGGAGTCTCGCCGGAAATTACAGAAAAATCCCGAAAAATTCTAGAAAATTCTAGAAAAATCCCTAAAGCCTTATTTAATTATTTTTAGCCATTATTAATTTCATAGGTCATTAAATAAATATATACCATCCTATATAATTAAAATTTCACAAATTTAATAAACTAAAATTCCTAATTTATTAAACTCCTTACATGGTCTCTATGCTCTAAAATAATATAAATAAACTAAACAATTAATTTATTAATTCAAAGGGGAAAAATAGATAATAACTTGCCTTTTTGGATTTAAAATAAATCCGCCGGTTGCGCGTAATCGGGTAAATTGCCTACGCCGGTCCAAGCTCCCTTCTTTCTCTCTCTTCCTTTCACTCTTATCAAGTAACTCACATTTACTTATTTCTCTTCTTCCTCCGTGAATCCTCAACCCAAAGAGCTAACTTCTATATATAAATAACTTATATAATTTAAATATTGCAAATATCTTTTTACTAACCATCTAACTTCCCACCTATATTTACTTAAAGCATGCAATCCAAGTCAAGTACATTGACTTAACCAAAATGCTACCATTTTGTCAAGTTCCCATCATGACATTTGATCATTTGATTATTATTATGATTATTACTATCATTATTAGTATTATTTTTATTAATAATCCTAAACTTCCCTAACCACATTCCTTTAATGCCATGCCCCTAAGTCCTCTTTGAAATCATCTCATTCAACCAAGATAGTGGAAATTCTATCTTAAGACTAAGTTGGCATCATAACTTGTTTTAATAATACTATTCTTATTATTACTATTATGATTTAATTTATCACTATTATCATTATTATATTATTATTATATTATTATTATTATTAATAAACTTTTATAATTATTATTATTATATTATTATTATTATTATTATATTATATACAAATTAAATACTTTAATTAAATAATAATAATTAATCTAAAACATAACCAATAAAAATTTCAAAACTAATCATTATACTATATAGAATATAAATCAATATTACATGCACAAATAAATAAAATTAGTTAACTAATCTAACATATATCATTACAAGGTGATTAAATCTACACATTAAAAAAATTAACCTAACACAAAATTAATTTAAATACACTCTTTAAAATTACGGGGTATTACAATAGTTGTAATGTCTACAACCATCCTGGTCTTTGACTGCCACCACTGGCGCGCCTCACCAGATAAAAGAAATGCACCAATCTTCCTTTTCTACACCTCAGTGCAGTCCATCATCTCAAAATACTTTTCCATATCTTCAATCCACTTCACAGCATCAAGTGGATCGGTAGCTCTAGCAAATTCAATAGCCCCCAATTTGCGGATATCTCTGATAAATCCAATCATAGGATTCGGCACATGAGGTGCATCCTCCTACTGAACATCGTTATGGTTAACACCACCACGACCAACACCTCCCTGACCTCTGCCTCTAGCAGGTCGTCATCTGCCTCTTCCAGCTCCTGACATCCTATTTTCAGTAAAGAATGTTAATGATAAGTCTCACAAGTAATTTATACTTAAACTGGAGCATGGTAAGAGAGCAATAATTTGTATAAGTATATGCTCCTATTCTTACTATCACTTTTCTTAGCCAGGTAATTCTTAACCTAAGCTCTGATACCAAACTGTCACGCCCCAAAATCCTAAATACATGAACTCTTATCTCGTATTAAGATTTGACACGACTTTCCTTACACAACCACAACTTTACAATAAAAATAATTAAATAAAGAAATGGATGAAAACCACCCTCTAATTTATTAAATCGATACAACCATAATATCAAACAACCTTGTCAAAAATAATCCATGATAACTGGACAAAATGAACTAACTCTCAAAAAAAATATCGTCATTCTTATTACAATGCGAAAATTGAACTAAACCAAAGAATGCGACAAACAAGCCAAAATCCATCACCATCATGTAATCCCATCACGTTCCTACTCAACGTGTACCTGAAATGTGATAATGGGGTGAGCTCACAAGCTCAGCAATAAATGCTAAACACAATCATCGTTCAGCAAATTAACCTTACCTTATATTCTTGTATATATAAGCAACTCAAATAAGTTCATTATTCAAATGTGTATAACCCAGTTAATTATAAACTTAATAAATAACCATCTTTTATTTTTAATAAATCAGCATATCTCACATGAGCCTCGGGCTCCCGTCCAATAAAATGGTGTGAATCGTATAGTCCCTGACTACCAAAAACACACGTGTGGCTGGATTGTACGTCTACTTCCCAGATGATCCCTGATCACGTCCACACAATAGGGGCTCATTAGACCCATGGCCATAACAAAAGGGTAGTGCACTCCCAAATAGGTAGGTCCCTGACCATACCCACGAGTCATCATAGGGTCGGTCCCTGACTGCCCTCCGACTAATCCAAACTCATCATTATTAACTATGGTGAATTATGATAGACATTATTAATTAATAATTTAAATTAATAAGCAATATTCCCGAACACACTTTTAATTTAAAACAAAACCCTAAAGACCCAACTAGTGGGAGTACAGAAATTCTGGACACGCTCTAATATTATATATAAATCCCTGTAACATTTTTGAGTCAAACCTTTAATAATTTTTCCGTTCTCTCCATTAATTGTTTTTTTTTTTCAAGTTTTAATTTGGTTAAATTATCTAAACAGTATCTAAAAAACAGGATTTCATCACAATTTATTTCAATATGCTTACACAGAGTAATATAGAATTTCCTGTAATTTTGAAATATGATCACTATTTTTCTTTCCTAATTTAATTAAATCAAGATCACTTAAAAGAAAATAATTAAAAATAATATTGAATCTCTATGGACACAACAGTGAACCCAAAATAACAGATTTAGAAAGTGACATGGAAACCCAGTTAAAAACGCATATGGGTCTCTCTCTCTCATTCACTTGTCCCTTGACTGCTAGTGGTTACACAAACCCATTACATCACCATCATCGGAATATGATTCCCAATATGCTATTAGCAATTAATTATGGAAATCTATAGTTACATCTAATCTAACCCACTAGCAGGCCCACAAGAAGTTACTGGAGTCATTCTAGATAAAATTACTTATATAAGAGGTCTAACATGCATATATACGTACATAAATATTCATATATATATATATATATATATATATATATATATATATTTGCACCTTCACAGTACTCCAACAAAGTTAACAGAGCAGGTTCACGCCTCTAAATTCCATGATATGCTTCCACAAATCTCCTTAGTTCTTCAACCATATATGCCACATATATTATATCACATATATACCAATAGATTGAAATCTTTTGAATGGAAACTGTACATTGCATTATGTAAAACTTTAAATTCAACTTACCAATAATAACATGCCTTGACTAAACCATCCTAACTAAATCCTTGATTTTGAGTTCTACGATCAAACTTAATTTAATTATTTAGAACAAATAATTTCTTTTATTGGAACCTAATAATTTAAGAAAACAAGTGCACAGTTGTACTAGTATAATCCTAACTTTACGAATAATATTTGTACAATTTATTTAAAACACACAAATTAGATTTTTTTAAGATTTATCATAATCAAGTTCCAAATATATATAAAAATACAATGCAAGATTAACTTGCCTCAAATATCGTTTCACCTTCCTTTTCAGACTCGACTATTGAAATATAATTTGTCCTTCTTCTCTAGGTAATTTCTCAGTCACCGTCTACCTTCTGGCTACCACAGACGTCAACTTTAAATATCACTCTCAATATCTCACGCTTTTCTCTTCTTTTCTTTCTTACTTTTTTTTTTTGTTTTACAAATAATATCTCTATAGAACTGATACGGCATGAGTTATAAAAGATAATTATAACTGTGGTTGAGATAGTTTAGGATTCCTTTTTGAAATTTAAATTTTAAAAACTATAATATCTTTAATTTAACATTCAAATAATAAATAATAAATAATAAAATATAATATACGAAATTTAAGGGTTTTACAGTGTAGGTTGGGGTAAGTGAAATGCTTTTCAATGAGATAATGGCCATTATCCAATAAAAATGCTTCTGCTTTCAGATTACTTCTTTTCCTCCTTTCTGGCTTGAATTGATGTATGGTTTCTCGACGGTCTAGTTCACGTGCCTTAAATTGAGTCTTCCTTTCAAGGTATGGGTTGGAGTACTGGAAGTGAGTTCGCACGGAGGGCTGTTGATGCTGTGTTCGGTCCTCGTACTATAAGTGTAGTTTCTGAATCACCTGTTGTTGCTGCTCCAGCACCTGCGACGACCAGCGTCGACGCTGGCTCTGGTGCATGCGGCCATCATTCCAAGGCCTTCGAGGATGTATGTCTTTTCTCTTTAGGGCACTTTCTAATAAATTTATTGAATATCTTTACATTTTTCGAATAGGAGTTTTTAGAGTTTATAAAACAAATGAAGCGAATAGGATATTTGTAGTCATAAGGAACCGACTCAACAAGATTGCGACTTCTGGAGTGAATATTGTCTCCCTATTCTATGAAATAATGTAGAAGCAAAAACTAAATAATAGTAAAAACATGGAACTATTATTATCTTTGTGTTCTGATTCATTTATATTGTACTTTTTAACAGCACTAATTCTGAAGACCTAAATTATGTGTGGTGGAGTTTTGACTTTTATTTTCGTTTTTGTTATTCGAAGATCTGTTTTGCAGTGCCTGAACAACTCCGGGAATGATATCGGCAAGTGTCAGTTCTTCTTCGATATGTTGACTGAATGCAAACGGAACATTGAATCTATGATGGATTCCTAAGTATTTATTCCTCTAGCATATTTCTGGAGAATCCTTATGGAACCCTTTTTACTCTTATGTTCTCAGCCTAAAGTATATATATGAATGTTTAATATCTATTAATAACTCGTCAATGTTTTATATATATATATTTCCGGTAAATATCGTCAATGTTGAACCATATATTCATGTTGTTCAAGGCAAAAACATGCCACTTTCTTCTCATTGCTTCTATTTTACTTGCTATTTGTAATAATGTGAAATGAAACACTTATTCATTTTATTGATTTGTGTAATCTTATCCCTACTCAAATTCTTGAGTTTGAATATTTATGTGTGGATGTTTATGTTACTAATTTTTATAAGGTATTGCTTTTGGTTTTAATTATTTTTAATGTAGCTTTCGAAATTCATATATATCGTGACATCTAAAGCTGAATTAGATCATCTGATTAGTGATGTGCGGAAGAAGTAGGATGTAGTACAATGGAAGTTATGCTGAGTCGAGTTTCTACTCTTAGCTGTTTTGGTTTATTATTTGAAGAAGAAAAAATATTGGAGAGGAGAGAACACAAATATTTTTTTGTGTTGGGTCACAGAAAGGAACTAAATAGAGAAAAAGAAGGGGAGGAGAGAATGAGGTTCAATCATTTACATTTATCAATACATGTTATGAGTCGTTCCACATTCCATTCGGACGGAAAAATATAAGGATATAAACGGACTGGGTCGATTGCGAAGCACCCACCCTGTTAGTGCTCGACCCGGAGGCGTTCACCTGGGCGTTGCGAGTAAGAGTGGGGAGAATGGTGTTCCTAACCCTAAATCGATCTTATCTAACCACATGATGTAACTCAATCTCGTCATGTGTTCGTAACCCTAAATCGGTCTTATCTAATCTCTCAATTTCATCCTGGAGAAATCCTGCTCTCCAACATTAACAATGTTGGCTTTCCTTGGAATTATCTCTAAACAAACTTATAAGAATTATCTCTATACCATTTTCGATCATTGTTAAAAATCAGATTCGGTGGGAATTTTTGGGTTTTTTGGATTGGTATTGTGAGAAATTGGAGTTGAAGATTAAAAAATTCTCTTTGATTTAGAGTGTCAAGTAAAAACCCATAAATTATGTGTTTAATTCTTCACCGAGAAAAGAAGAACCCATAATAATATACAAACATAACAATTAAAATTTTCCACATGAAGCATCAGACCCTCATAGTCTAAACGAAATAGGAACACATCATTGGTAAGCAATTCAGTAATGAAATCAACTAATGGAGGAGGTACGAAGACAATTAAAATATGTAATAATAAGTAATGAAATCAACTTAATTCTCTTTCATTTCTGCTTAAGCTTCCCCGCTCATTAGAAAGCAGCTCATATGAGAGGTTTACTATCTAGAAGGGAGGTAAGTCTAATTTAATTATCCTAATAATAACAATGATTATAATAATTATAACAACAATAAAACTACTAATACCTTTTACCATAAAACTTGCACCTTTAGAATGAAGGAAAGCTAAAAAATGAGATATGACTGATCTTTTTGGTCAAATATACTTGTGGACCGAATGGAGAGATTTATTAATGTCAGGTTTTTTGTCCTTACTTTTCAAAATATCCTCCGTCTATGTTCGGTTGTGTAAAATTGGAGTCTTAGAAAATTGAACCAAAATTTTCTCAAATTCCTTCAATTTCAATTCTAAGACTTCAATTCCATACAACCCGAACACACCCTCAGTTTTTTTGAAAACTAACCCTAAACTAACACCTACTTTAAATGAGTAGTTTTTGTAATTTTAAAAGAGAAAAAAAAAAAAAAAATTATAATTTGAATAACTATTTTGGAGTGAGTAACTTTTATCCAGGGTGAGATATTAGTGCACCTTGTTAGAGCAACTCTAAGTCGTGCTTGAAAATTTTAAGAGCATGAACAAGACATTTGAAATCATGAACAAGACATTTGATTCGTGCATCCATCCCATGTCATATGAACAACTCATTGAGATGACATGACTCCGTGAAAGTTGCTGGATAGATGCTTGGACCTCTTTTTTTTTAGAAGATGATTCTTATCCTTAAATCTTAAAGCCCCAATTTATTTTGGGACTTGGGAGTTTTGACAAAGATTTCTACCCATTCAAAATTCGTGTAGATATGGTATGCTTTACGCTTTTTTTTTTCGGTACTCAGGATTTTGCTCAAAATACGTCTATACGATCCCCAAATCCGTGTAAATATTGTCCTGCTTTCTCTTCTTGGTGCTTATAGTTTTGCTCAAAATGCGTTTACATAGTTAATGGGTGTTCACATATATAAGCATCCAAACTTCTCCCTCTTAGGCGATGTGGGTTGGTGCCACTAGCAAAGATGAAGGTGAAGTGTTTATATATATGTGCTAGCTCTATCTCCAAATTATATGAGACTTTTTGGCGTAAAATTCAAGAACAAAACCTTGCATATTCAGACTCAAAACTGAGCAATATCATACCATGTGATAGAGTGACCTATCATAAATAATGTCAGATTTGAAGCCCAGCTAAAAGTGTGATCAACAAGAATATTGAGCCGATTAGAAGGGGTGATTGTGGCGACCAAAGCCGCGACTTATATGGGCGGGTGCAAGACACCAAATCCCAAGAACAAAACCGAACTTAAAAATCCCTAATGTATAGTTCAGGACTTAAGCTTAACGTGAATTGAAGCGTTAGTACCCTGAATTTGATGTATACTTGACCTACTTCATACATGGGCTTGCAAATATTGGCGCCAATGCAACATGCATACAGACCAATCCGAGCTGATGTGACCTGATGTATGCTTCATCTCACGTGGTTATGAGAACAATTAATTTGCAATTACCCAATATATATATATATATATATATATATCTATATCTATTAATAATTTGCTTTCTTTACCACAATGTATGCAAAAAGAGTCAATTTATACTTACCGCCATATCAAGAAATTCATCTAATTTGTTTTATTTTCACCATGTTGGATGATTTCTCGGCAAGACAGCAATGTTGTGTATTTGTCAGTTTGCTTAACTTCAAAAAAAAATAATAATAATAATAATAAGGGTAAAGTGCAATAAACCCCCTTCAATTATATCCAAATGAGCACAAAACTCCCTTGAATTTCTAAACTAAGCAGAAAACTCCCTCAAACTATGTTATTTAGTTAAAGCATACCCAATCCGGCAATCGGAGATTGAATTTTAAACCCCTGCATGTCACGTGATGGATTACTGTTCATTAAATGACAAGAAAGCCCTTATGAGAGTTAAAAGACTATAACACCCTTTTGTCTATATATATATATGTATTCACACATAAAGCATGTATCATTATGCTTTGGGACGAGAAACTGACGATCCAGAATGATGACGCGATTCCGGCGAAGGCGCTGATGCTATGATGAGGGTAAATTTGTAGATTCTCCGAGCTAGGCTTGAGCGAATTAGTTCGCAAGCTTTCTCATCGCAGCGGCTTGCGACATCGCTAACAACCCTATGTGTTTCACCAACGCGTCGATGAGCTTGAGATTGTATTCTTGCACCGCCTCGGCGTAGGCCATCAAGCTGTGGACAAGTCAGAATTCGGTCTCCTGCGAATCCACGAGCACCACCGGCCACCGTGGCTCCACTACGGCAGCTCCAATTTTGGGAATCGGTGATACAGGCGGCAGAATTCTCAACCCCAATCACAAGCAAACCAAATCACAAAATTTTCAACCCCTCACCAAACCCAATCACAAGAATTGATTTGCAAAATCCAATAGAAAGCGTACCCAATCGCAAAACCCTATGAATATTTTTTCACAATCAGCAAGCAAATCCATCACAAAATTCTCCATGGCCAAACCTAGGAAAGAGAACTGTAGAGCGTAGGGTAATGCTCCAGTTGGTTTCAGAGAAATTCTATAAAAAATCAAGATGATAATTTTAATCATATGACACCTAAGAATTAAATTTTCAAGAACCCAATATAATACCAAAACAAGAAATTGGGATTTAGCAGAGTTCAACGACAAAATCAAGATTGAAGAGATCAGAGAAAGTGCCCAAGGATTTTTCACCACCATTACTGTAGGTCTCGAAGTCGAAACACCAACACAGCATTCTGATAGCCACCGTCCACAATCAGGCCTTTATCGTCGATGGTTGAGCCTTTTGTAGTTGTTGCCACCCGACTGATTTTTACCATCGCTATTAGAATCTTTAACTGTGGCACTTGTATATATACACATGGTTGTGATAAATGCTTAGTTGGCGGTGGAGATTGTGGTGTAGAGAAATGGTGGTGTTAGTCGTCCATTGTGTTGAGATTTTATCTCTTATAGTACAATTGTAGGATTGATTTATTTTCTCCCTGATTTAGGACTAATTGGTAGGTAATTAGTTACCTACTTTAGCTAGGTCTTATTCTATAAATTGGATATAATACCATCACTGAAAAATATAATATAATTTTAATCTCTTTTTTTCACTGAATTTCAAGATGGTATCAGAGCCATCTTGAACCGTACCTGAACCAGACCTTTGAATCTCTTTGAATTTAGTTTTATTCATTGACCCATACACGTACTCTTACACAACAGATCCATACACATACACATATCCTACACCATACCCATACACATACACATATCCTTACACCATACCCATACCCATACCCATACCCATACAAATACAAATATGACGACCCCATCACAAGCTGCTGCTACTGCCGGCGATCTGCCGTCGCATCGCCGGATCTCCAAACGACGACGCTCTCTGCCAAACCGAACCGCTGCACCTCGACTGCCATCGCGTCACCGGATCATAAAGTCCCCAGATCATCGCCGTCGCGTCGCCGGATCAGGCCACTCTCTGCCGCTGCTTCGCCGGATCTCCTCCTTCCCTTACCCACTGCCGGATCTGTTCCTTCTCCGTTAGACGCATCCTCAATCAAAGCTGTCGTCGCAGCCATCGCCGGATCGTTGCTCTTCTCCATCGCAGCAATCGCCG